ATTAGTGATCCACTTCACCCCTTGCAAGCTCACATCACTGTTGAACTAAACTGACAAGATAAAACTCGGTGCTTAAAATTCCATTTCCAGTAATAGAAATGTACCCCATCCTGTCATTTTTTTAAGCAGGCTTTTTTTTGAAGTTATACAAAACACCACCATATTAGATTAAGCCTGGGAGGCATGAATTTGAAGGGAGAAACCTGTGTTTCTGAACAGAATGACAGCCTCTAGTTTTCACACTGTAGAATTTTCAAAATAGCTATTTTCTTCTGACTTTGGCACTCAGATTTCTTCTTTCTTTCATAAAGGTTTTTTATCTGTTATTTTGCATAATCAAGCCTAGAATCAGTAAATCACTTGAACACATATTGCCCTGCAAGCTTTGGTGGGGTTCTCTTGAAATCAGTGGGTATTAAGGTTTTGCTCAAGAGCCTCATTAAATCAAAATCTTTGTCCTTCAGTCTTACTTTGGGGATGGGGGGAAAGGGTTTGCACCTGGTTCAGTTCCTAGATCTCATGTCAATATGGTCATGCCAAATTTGCTCATTGGCAGTGATTTCTTCTCCTTTCTTTTTGAAAACAGAAGAAAAAGGAAATGATCCTTGGGCCATATGAAATTCCTTTGGAATTCAGGTTCCTGGATGACCACACTGGCTCAGCTGGACACGAAGCTGATTTTTACAGTGTGGTAAAGAGAACTCCTGTGTTTGGAGCAGCGTTAGAGGCCTATGGAGAGCCTGCACTGTGTGATCCAGCAGAATTTTGGGTCTAACTGAGAGACAGAGCATCATCAAAGCTCAGCACTTGCCACTCCCTTCTTAAAGCGAGTCTTCCTTATGCTCCTCTTTATCACTCTTCTATACATTGTGCTGAAAAACGAGTGCTTGAAAAGGAAAGACATACTTCTGTTTTGTCTCATTTAAATTCGCTGTACGAACCAAGTCAGCAAACACAAATGCTCTTAGAAAAAGTCTTTCATGTAGGTAACACTGGACTTTTTTTTTTTTTTTTTTTTTTTTTAAGAGGGCAGTCTGCCAGAGGGTGTCCAACATAAGCTTTTGTAGACAGCAGTTTTTCTACACAGAGCTGAGTTGACAGCTTTCCTCCTGGGATAATCACAATCTTCATTCTTCTGGGACAAAATTGCTTCTGACAGTATAAAACCCAGGACATCTTTGATGTAAAATCTGACTCAAACACATGAATGGTGAGACTACAGAGTCATCCCATTCAAGAGAAAATGTTAGTAGTGGAAGCAAGATCAGAGGTGCCAGCTGAATTAATCAAACTAGTAAAATGTGAGGAAGTATCAGTCCATAAAGCTGCCTAATAAATCTGAGTGCACAGCATTTGAAGGGAAGTGCCTTTGGACACTAAGCTGGGTGTCAGACTGGGAATGGGCTCTGTGTGTGTGTAGCCCTGTCCTGTTGGTATACTGCATTAAATGTTTTGAATGTGCATTTTTTTTTTTCCAAAAGCCTGTGTAAATCTCCAGTGCTCACTGATGCAGCGGTGGTTTGGTGTCCCTCCCGCTTTCTTCCTTCCCCTTGTTTGGAATGAGGAGCCTGAGACCTGAACCTCACAGGGTTGTCTCTGTTCCCTCAGCCTGCCCTGGGGATGACAGAGGAGATGGTGTGCCCCTAAATTTATCAGCCAGTTTGAGTTTGTAAAGGTTAGTTGTGGAGGTTTTTTCCAGAGAAGGACACAGAGTATCAGGATGAATACCCATCAGCAATTTTTTTGCAGAAAGAACAAACACTGCTGTGGTTTTTTTTTTCCTTAGATTTTGAAACTGGGTTGCTTTTTCAAAGTGTAGGATTTTGGGGGGTAAATGAGGGTGCAGTTAAACAAAATACTAATTGTGGCATGTAACCCAGGAATATCAGTGGCAATAATATGCTGATAAGCCTGGCTTTGAGCACTATGTGCTTGGAAAGACTTGGAGATCGACTTGAGAATTTCAAACCAGAAAGGTAAAAGGATAAGAGATGTTTCTGCTCCTGCAGACTTAAAGCTAAGAGAAAGATGGAACCGGTGAGAGGGCAGGGAAAGTTCTATTTGCCGAAATCCCTGTGGCCGAGCGGGAAGAGGTGGGACAGCAGGTGGCACCAGTGCCTCATCCATCCACCCATCCGTTCCCTCGCATCCCCGCTGCACTGCTGCACGACACGGTGCGTTTGGAAAAATATCCTGTTCGCTCTGGTTTATAGCTCGTATGCAGTGTCGCCCAACTGCCAGGCACTTTATCTGAGCAACAAAACTCAAACACCCGAAGTAAGGAAAAATAAGGACTTTCCTTCTGCTCACCTTGCAGCAGGAATGCAATATTTACAGGCTACAAGCTCCTAAAAATATTTTAGATGCCTTTCCATCTTGTTTTGTTTTCACATTCACTTTTCTTAAGTATTCCAGCAAGACCCCTCTAGAAAGGTAATGGGGTTTAGCCTGGAGGAAAGAAGACTGAGAGGGGACCTTATCAGTGTATCTAAGTATCTGAAGAAAAAATGCCAAGAGGATGGAGCCAGGCTCCTCTTGGTGGTACCCAGCAATAGGATAATAGACAAGGGCCAGAAACTGATGCACAGGAAATTCCATCTGAATATGAGGAAGAACTTCTTTACTGTGCAGATTGCTGAGCACTGGAACAGGTTGCCCAGAGAGGTTGTGGAGTCTCCCTCACTGGGGATATTCAAAAGCCACCTGGACACAACCCTAAGTAATATGCTCTAGGGGACTCTGCTTGAGCAGGGAGATTAGACTAGATGGCTACCTAACCCTAACCATTCTGTGAGTCTATGAGATGGAGGAAAAGCCAGAAGGAAGAAAGCTTGCAAAAGTAGCACAGACTGATGAGGCACACACAGGTTTCCCTATTCCTGTCAATATTTCTGCAGCAGGTCCCAAAGTCCCACTAATTTCCTCACAAACCAGTGATGCTTCTCCAGAACACTCCGTGTCTTGCTCACTCCCTCACCCTTCAGTAGCAGAGGCTCCCTGTTCTCTCTGCTCAGTGAGTACAAAGCAGCCCCTGTCTCCCTGGTTCAGCACAACATCTAAGCATGCAAGTAATTCCATCCCCATTCAGCAAAACGCTTAGCCACATGCTTACCTTTAATTATGTACTTAAACCAAAGATGTGTGAACTTGTGTTCTGGTCTCATGCTGGACAGCAGAGAACTTAATGAGATGTTTAGAGTTAAATAACTACTCAGTGATTTCCTGAATCGGGACCTAAATAGAAGATTGCTCCACCTGATTTTTAAAATTAGATTATGCTTAATTTTGAAGGCAGGGCACTTCCTTGAAGTCACATCGATTTGCCATAAACATTTCTTGGAGGCAATGCCCTTGGGGTCTAATCCAGGCCCCTTTGATCAGGCTCCTGTTGACGTCAGTGAATTTACATCAGGTCCTGGGTCCCAGCAGAGGAAAAGGAAGGAAGGAAGGAAGGAGACAGCTGAGATCACACCCTGTTGCCTGACACCACCCCCCCCCCCAACTCTGAAGTCACACTTGACAGTGAGAGCTGTCAATGAGGGCTCATCATCCTCCTTTCCCACAGATGGGGGAAGACTGCAAGAGACAAGAAGGGTGGAAGCCAGGGTTCTGTAGATCAATCACACCCCTATCTCCTCTCTTTCTTTCATCCTCACACCCCAAATAAAGTCATGGAGCTCAGGAGAGAAATTAAAAGATGTCCATTTTGCTTGTGCAGACAAAGTGTGAGTTTGCTGTGTGATGCTTTTGCTGTTGGGATGAGGCAGGACTGACTTACTGCCCACAAACTTTAAAACAGGATGGTGACTCTGTCACCACATGGCTTTTGAAGAGCTTTTAGCTCTGTTTTCTTTAAGGAGGTGAAATGGATAAATCAACAAATAAACTTAATTAGAACAGAGTAATAAATTTGTACGGATTTACATGCCTCTAGACAGTAATATATCTACTCACTTCGGGGGGGGAAAAAAAGGAAAAAATATGAGTTTATGTTTTGCTTGTAAGTGTCTGAATGGGATACTGGAACCATCTTAAAACACACTTAAGTGCAACTAAGAGAGTAATTCACACATAATCCTGTTCTCAGATATAAGGGGTTTTTTCTTCGTGCAAGACATCTATCATCAGAGAGGGGAAACCATCTCATTTAATTTGCATTCCAGGTTACTAAGGAACTCTGGGCAGTGTTTTTCTTAGCTACAGAAGCCAGAGGCAGATTGTATAATTTCCATTTCCTGATTATACGACATACATAAGTGAAGGGGCAAAGCTTGGAGCGCTCAGTTTACTATTGGATGCAGAGTTTTAAGTGCTGTTTGCAAAATTAGGATTGTGAAGAGAGACCAACCTGTTCCCACCTCCTGTCCTGATACTCCCCTGAAGGATCCTTTCATTTAAATCTCCAGTTTGCCATGTAACGAGGTTGAAATGTAGCTTTTTTTATTAATATGTATACGTTTGCAGTGTGTTTTAGATTGCAATTGGTGCCTGATGAAATCTGGTCCTTATCTTCATCTTGCAGCTCTGACACACTAGGAAAGGCAGAAGCTTTTCTCTGGGACTAGTCCCTGGAAAGTTGCAGGCATAAATCTCCTGTGATCACTCCTGTGACAGATCTGGTGTGCTCCCTGATATTAGTGGCAGTGCTAGCTACACAACACCCTTTTCCTTGCCTTTTCCCTGCAGTCCATTCCTTAGCTTTTCCTCCTTTTTTTTTCCGAGCTCCGCCTCTCCCTTCTTCTATCCATTTACAGGGATTTTGCAAAATCCGAAATGTGGCTGGCAGCGCCCAGGGTGAGGCACGGGGAGAGAGGGATGAGCCGGATGGCTACGTCCAAACATTTGAAAACGCTTAATGCAGGGGCTGGATCCAAATGTCGTGGCTCAGGCCCATTTCCATAAAGAATAAGAGAGAGAAATTAAACACCCTGTTCCTTCAGCCGACCAAGATGTGATGATATTTCGTAATCATAACAAAAAAGGGAGCAGCGGGGCCAAACTGCATCTTGGCTGTTCTTTATCGCTGTGAGTAGTACAGGAGGACAGGAATCAGATGGGATGAGCAAACTCCAGGCTGTAAAGCAAGTGCAGATGTCCCCTCCTGAGAGGAGTTCCTTGCAGCTGGAGGCTGGATGATGTTTACTGTGGAGCTGTACCAGCTCTAGGAGAGGGGAAAGGGTCCTCCTGCTATTCAGCAGCAAAGCAAAGCGAAGCAAGGCAGTTCTGCTCTAATCAGACTCCCTTTTTTTTTTTGCAGTGTTGGTTCATGGGTGTTGACAGAGGGAGGGATGCTGGAAGGGGGGTGTGTGGGCCACCCCAGCAAGTGACGGCAGTGGGAGCAGGCAACTCCTGTGCAGGTACCAGCAACAGGGCTGGTCCCGCTGCTGGCAGGTGGAGGCGTGGCTGTGGGAAGAGACACTGTTGTGGAGGTTGCCCAAGTCAGTCCTGGCTCGGGCTTGGCTCACCACACCCGTGCTCCCACTGAGGCTCTGCCGGTGATGCTCCTGTGTTGTGCTGGCATTTTCCCTCCTTTCCCCTCACGGGTTTTGCATTGTGGCTCCTGTGCTGTGTATAGAGGAAGGTTCTGCTTCTTGTTCTTTTGCAATACTAGTAGCACTCGGTTTAAATTTAATTTTCTTCTTTCCAACAAGCATTTTTTTGGCAGTGCCTTCTTTACCCTTCAGCTGTTTTAAATGTTTATTTCTCCTTTTGCACATGTTTGACAAAGACAGCACTTACACAAGTCCTCTCCGAATAATACCCTTTCTCCCTAGAGCCAATAAAGTGAAGAGATTATAAAATGAGACACTGCATTTCTCTGTTAAGCAGCGAGGTTGCCCGTCTTGTTTCTCTGCTCTAGGAGACAGTGCTGGGATATGAAACCTCGAAACTCTAGCCCACAAACCCAGTGTGGTGCTCCAGCTCCTTCCAAATGCCCTTCTAGCATGCCACTGTTTTTTCAGACACACAAACTCGGCTTTGGGAAGAAAAGAACCACCCTACCTGAACTGTCAGTTCATAGTCCATATTTACCTTTCTTCCTGTTCTCTAAGGCCTCAGGATGTAATCAAGAAGTATGTGCCCACCAAAACTGGGGCACCTGGGGGAGCAGTCACACTTCCCAGTACTGTGAGGAGGATAGTCATTAATGAGTGCAAGTACACAGGGATTTACCAGGAAGATAAAACATCTCAAGACTTTGCTGCTTTTAGACAGACAGCTACTTTGCGCACGGGTATAGATTCCTCTGAGAAAACTGTAAGCCTTCCAGTTCATTATCTCATCCAAACAAGTCACCAGTGACTAAATGACCAAGTATTTTCTTCAAGTTCTGTATTATTTATATTTAATCCACTGCTTACGCAAAGAAATTGGTCTGGAAAAAAGACACTGTACAGGAAAAAGGGTTTTAACAGAGAAAATCTGTCTCAGTGTTTAGGGTACAATAATCTCAGGATTTGCTCTGCATTTAATCCTGAATTAAAACAGATCTAGAAAGAGAAAATGGTCAAATCATAGAATGGTTTGGGTTGGAAGAGACCATTTAAGGCCATCTAATCCAACCCCCCTGAAGTGAGAAGGCACAACTTTAATTGGATCATGTTTCTCAGAGACCCACCTAACCTGGCCTTGAATGTTTTCAGGGATGGGGCATCCACCACCTCTCTGGGAAACCTGTGCCAGCAGCTTGTTATTTTAATATTATTTTAATTTTCCTAATTTTTTAGAAATTTCTTAGCAATGACACATTTGAAGGAATGGACTCTTCCTTCCCATAACTCCCACCTGTCCCTCTAACAATACTCCACCCTGACCCTCTAAGTCTACCCTGAATTACAGTGTTACAACAATAACACAGCTCCTCACAACACTTTTCATGGGGTTTAAATGCTACCTGAGAATAAGGCTGCTCTCTTTGCCACTGCCAACTTTACAAACTATAAAAAGATTCATTTTATAAGTTGTGCACCTTGGGAATTGTAGATCAAGTACCAGGGCCTATTATGGAATAGATTTAATTCATTCAAATTTTTTGTAAATTTGGCTAAATTGCTCTGGTTAGGCATTCTGGTCCTAGACAGTAGGTCATATCACAATAAAAACTGCTGCCATTTTTTTGTGTCTGCAAACTGAGTTGGATGTATCCACCATTTGACTACTTTAATTTCTTTGGAGCGGAAATCTTGTCACCAGTCATGAATACTTGAAAATTGCAGCTGCCTTGTTTGTCAGATTACAAATATGGTCTGAAATCCTACCATTGGCAAAACTCTCCTGAATTTCTCTAGATCCAGGTTTTTCCCTCCTGGGATGCTTTCATTCTTCCACCATCTATCTAGCTAATTGCTATAATGAGATTTGCAAAGGGCAAGCTTGAAAGTCAACTGTAAAGTCCAAAGTGAGCTATTACCTCAAATTCACTTTCCATGAGTATACTCACAGAGAAGGCTGGAGTTCTGAAAGGTACGGGGAAAATGAACACAACAGACCTGCAAACATCATCAAGTCCCAACTCAGTTTAGAGTTCAAATTACCTTGCAAAGAAGGACCTCTTTCTTTTAATATTATTTCAGCTCTGCAAATTTCATACTGCGAAACTGCCCATGAAAAAGAATTACAATCGAAGAAAGAGGAAAATGTATGGGCGATCTGACAGAGTTTACCAGATGCTCCACACACCTGAGAAAATAAGTTCTGAGCTTTTCCCTTTCCAGATCAACCCTCAGAGCAATTTGCTGCTGGGTAGGGATGGGCAGCACCCCACAAGTGCTGGAGTACCACCCACAGGTGGTACTCCATGCCCTGCATCCCTGGGCACTGCATACTCTGCTTGGAACTTGATTTCTCAGAGGGATTCTAGTGCAATGTCTGTAGCTACATGGAACCTAGAAGTGATGACTTTTGCAAAGCAAGGGCAACCCAGTTTGTTTTTCACAGCAGATATTCAGGATATCATTTGCTTCTCTTGCTTCAAAGCATTTTGTCATTAAATGATTGACTCAGCCACACACCAGCCAAGAGGAAACTGGGCTTCTCCTCAGCTAAATAAGATAGAAGGTTGAGCTGTGCTGGATGTTGTGGCTCACTGCTTTGTGGTATCACTTGTTCATATCATGTGCATCCTAGGTGACCAAAGGATTTATGGACCAAACTGACAAGCAGCACGGATATCTTCTGCTCCTTTCCTTCCCCTCTCCTGTCTGCAGGAAAGTAATATGAAAGTGTTTGTGTGTTGGAACGGAATTGGCAACTGAAGAAACATGTTAACGTGCAGGTGAAAAGGCAGTGATTGATATTTCTAGAAAACTCTGAAGGGTGAGAAGTTTTTCCAGTGATAAAACTAAGGCACGGGAATATATTAATTGGGAAGGGTGTAGAATTGTCAAGATCTTAAACCCTGGTTGTTAGTTATCATGGGGTTTGTGTCACTCTTGGAATGAGTTACCCTGTCCATCCTCATTCTGCAACAAAAGAAGGGAGCAGTCTCTCCCCTTACTTTCCCCACTCTACTCCCAATTTTTCTCCCAATATTGTTTAGACTGGGAGTTGAGATTCCATCTGTGGAGATGTTGAGAAGAAATTAATGTTGTGAAGAAATTAATGTGAGGTAACATGTGGCTTGGCTTCTGGGAAAACCTTTCAAACACTGAAAATAAAGAAGCTCTGAGGTACAATGCTAAGGGTATTCTACTTGACAAGCAGAAAATGTTGTCACTTGGTCCCCTGAGAAACCAGCTGGACAAACCATGTGGCAGGGAACACTTCCATCCTGGTATACCCTGAGGCTGTGAAAACACCTAATTGTCTGGGTAAGCAAAATATTTCCTATGAAGTATTCATATTTATTTATACCCAGAATTAATGTGTAAGCAAAATATTTTCTGTTGAAGTATTCACATTTATTTATACCCAGACTTAGCTCTTCCTCTTCAAAATATATAAGAATACTAGTGCCCAGCCTGTTCTAGTAATTAAATTTTGGCCTATGTATAACTTTGGAAGACTTATATTTTATAGTGTGTCACAAATATCAGCTCAGACAATATTCATAATGAAAAATGGGTAAGTGAAAACCTCTGTTTTGAAACTCCCCAGGTTTCTTCTTTACCTGAAACAAGTGATGGGCTGGACAATAACTTGCACTAATTGTCCAAGAAGCTTTTTTCACAAAAGATTTTAATATGAAACCATTTTACTATCCACATCCAGCAGTTTCTGCATTTCTGAAAGCCAGTTGTGCATTTGCGTAAGCATTTGCTATTGAAAAAGAACTGCTCCATAAATTCAGCTTTCTCAGACTTTAATTGGTCAGAGAAAACTGAAAGTATAGGATTTGTGACACTTGCAACTTCCTTTTGACAACTTCTCACAGCTGCATGTGGTAAACTGTCCTTAAACCATCGCTTCTTTT